ATAAGTAGAAGAGAAACAACGAAGATGGAGATGTGAAACGAGGATTTGTTTGCCGTTTTGATCATCTCCATTTCCAAACTTTAAATACGATTTGAAAATCTTGATATTATATAAACCAGAGAGCTTTCTTGAAGAAGAACTTGGTAAAATACGCTATGCATGAACCAAATGGAAGAGATGCATGGTCTTTATATAGGAAATTTTCGTAATGTGAATACACAAAATTATATAATGTTATTTTGAATTCATGTTTGAAATTGACGTGCTTATGTATGTGTGTGTGTGTATATACATATATATATTCAAAGTTTCAATTATTGTTTATTTGTCGGGCTACAAGTTTGAAAAAACTTGGAAAGCTACGTGAAGTTGCTGTCAAGTTTCTTCAAATATAATTATTAAAAAAATTGTTGTTTTATTTTTCTTCTCCATTCAAATAATTAGTTTCCAATTTACATAAAAATATGGTAACCAATCTGAATATATTGATTAACAAACGTTTTAATAAAATAAAATTTGAAAATTTAAAAAAATTAATTTATTAATAAATAAATATTAATTTAGATCTTAAAATTACTTTGACAGCACGAGTTTTTCTTACGTGTTATAAATAACCTAAGAATATGATGAATACTATAATTAATTCTTCATGTAAATATAATTGATATTAATAATTATGTCAATTGCAAATGTAATACTTTTAATTAATTTTAATATATTTAAAATTAATATATAAATATAATTTTTAAAATTTTATTTAATGTAAAAATAAAAAAAAAATAAGTGGATGATGAATTAAAAAATAATTTTGAAAAAAAACATGTAAAAATTTGGATTCTTGGAGTCTTTTTTAAAAAAATCAAAAATTAGGGAACAAAATACAATTTTAAAAAATTGTACTATGTAGGACGCCAAGTCAGCAACTCCGACGAACCGGAGCGCACCGCGTGGAAAGGCACACTGACGCAGTACCACACGGGAGGCCACGCTGGCGATCTACATGCCCACGATAGGACGGTCCGAATTTATTTCCGCGCGCACAGACAGTCTGAATCCGCTCCCCCTTTAAACACGATCAAACGGTCTAGACCAAATCGCGATGAACGATCCATATCTGGTTCTATTTAAACGCGATTAGACAGTTCAAATCAAATCGCGATAAATGGTCCAGATTCACTTCATATTTAAACGTAATCAGACGATTAAGATCAAACA